CGTCTCTCTCTCTCACACACACACCGTCTCTCTCTCTCTCTCACACACACACCGTCTCTCTCTCTCTCTCTTACACACACACACCGTCTCTCTCTCTCTCACTCTCTCTCTCTCTCTCAATATTCTAGTGGTGGCTTTCTAAGAGTAGTCTAGTTGTACCATAAGATCAAAAGTATGGGGCACCCGGGGAGGTTCGAACTCACTTTTCAGCCGTAACTGTTATAGCGAGACATTAATATCACGTCAAAGTGTACAGAATGATTTTCTAAACCTAGCTTAGAAGTAGCTAAGAAACGACAGTATCGGGCACTCAGTGAGGATCAATATCACTACTCAGTCGTAATTGATCTAGCTAGACAAGCTCGTTAAGCATTACACTTCGTCGAATTGCCCATAATGGTTTTCTAAAGCATGGCCGAAAGTGTGAACCACACAGTGAAGGTCGAACTCACTATTCAGTCGTAATCGATTCTGCAAGACAAGCTTGTTAACCATTACAACTCGTCCACACTCTCAACATTGTAGTGTCTTAATACTGTATATTTTAATCATTACGACCGCATTTGTTATATATATTTGAAGGGTCGTTATGTTTTTGTAATTTTTTATTTAATTATGTTTATACACACACATACACTCACACACACACATATATATATATATATATATATATATATATATATGTATATAATTTTCGCCTCGCATCTTATGCAATAAGTATAATTTATGGGCACATAAAAATGTCAGGACGGTTCCTTTGATTCTCTGGGTAACGTTTTTTTCCACACCCACTACTTAGAAATTCCGCTTACCGACTCTCTATTGCAGTTTCTTAAATTTATTGCCCAATTAAACCTGCTGCCACGGAAAATTCTAGCGTAATTATAAAAATAGTCGACGCTAATTGGTAATCAGATTAAAAGGAATCGTTTTCAAATCATTACCTAACGTCGGAATTTGAAAAGTTCTACTTAAATTTCGACGCTTTTTCCAAATGCAAAATTTCACTACGACTTGCGGATAGGTCCGGTGCAAAGGTCACATGCCTCGCTCCAATCTATGATAGCCCCCCCCCCCCGCCACACTCTACTATATCTCGATTTTCACGGTAGTATTCATATAAAATACCCATTTTATAGTAACCTAATTATGTACAATAATATATGCAATATAGGTGAACAATTGAACTAGAAGAATTGGAACTAAATACGATGTATCTAAATACAAATTAGAGCCATGTCATAATAGATCATTCCATCTTAAATAAATCAACAGTAATAATAATAGTATCTGTAAAATTCTTATTCTGAGATACAATTTTGTTTTCTTTTCGGCAATTTTTAACATCAACTTGATAATTTTCTTGTTAAAAGTTGAAGAATTTTAGCACATTCGACATTACGGATAAAACATAGTGAATTTTATATAGTGTTTTTCTCAACTTAGCAACTTCTTTAAGGCATGGCCTTCCAGGAATCCCTTCAATGAGTCTGTTGATGTCCTCATGTGTCACATTCTTGAGATTTCGATTTCAAGATCCTTGCATTTTGATAGTTTTTTGAAGATCTTCAAAGGTACATTGCAGTCTGCAGGGACTGCCATATCAATATGGAGGCAATTTTTTGTTTGCGGTCTCTAATAACAATGTCTGGGCGATTAGCTATTATTGTTCTGTCTGTGTGTATTGTCTAGTCCCATAAAATTGTTACTGGTCCTATCTCTGTAACCGGGTCTGGGTGAGGGTCATACCATTTTTTTTTCAGTCTCCTTTCCGTAGAAGTTGCAGATTTTCCAGTGCAGATATTGACACACTCTGTCATGCCGTGTTTTATATTCAGTTGATGTCAATACCGCGCAACCTGATACAAGATGAGCTATTGTTTCTGGATATTTGTCACAGAGTTTGCATTTTGGGCTAACACAATTTTTAGTATGTGTGCTTGATAATTTCTAGTTAACAAGTATTGGTCCTGTGTAGCAAGAATAAAACCTTCAGTTTCAGCTTTCAACCCTGCTTTACGTAGCCATTGGTGGGTATGGGGTTTGTCTACATCAGCTTGTTTGATGCGGGCAGAGTATTGACCGTGAAGCGGTTTATCTTGTTATCGTTTCCGTATCTGGTCAGTTGCATTTGTTTTTGCTTTCATTTTAAATATTTTTTAGCTTCAGTCAGTGTATTATGTTTTACTTGTATTTCTTCACCCATTTGAAACTCCATTTTGAAATTGTTGGCTTCCTTTATTACTGAATAAAGTTGCTTATCACTTTTTTGTTCTTTGGCACATATCATCATCCAGTCTTCTGTAGTTTCCAGGTATCTTTGGAGGCCAATTGTTGTAGTTCTGTAAGACAGTTCTAGTTGAACTAATCCTCCGCTTCCTTCGGATCCGGGCACATAGAGACGATCAACATCAGCTTTGGGATGATAAATGCGGTAGCAAGTGAGAAACTTTCTTGTTTTGGCGTCCATTCACTTGATATGGTCCAGATAAGGATGTTAAAACTGTATTGCACCACATAGCCAAGGTGTCTATGACTGATATTCTGTTTTTTTTAATTCAGCTCGGTATTCACTACCAAATGCACACACCTGCAGTACTTCTTTCTTGCCTTCTCCTCCGTTTGGGTATGCTGTATTCTATCTCCTTCGCTAATTCCTAGGTGCTTATAGGCTTCATCTTGTTCCAGTTCCCTAATCTTTGTGACATAATCTAAATCTAAATCTATTGAGTGTGTTTCTGTTCCCGTAGCTGTTGTCGTTATTATTATTATTATTGTTTTTATTTTTTTGATTTCTGGCGTTTACACATTTCTTTCCGGGTCCCGCCCAGGGACCTAAGGCTAGAAATGGCATCATGACACTCTCCACTGACAAAAAAAATATTACATAGATAAAGCCCTTCGTAAAGTGTGGGCTGTACTTGTCAGAACAATTTTTTGTATCTCCTTGAGGCATGAACTTCCAGGAATCCCTTCAATTAGTCTACTGCAATCTTTTCCAACCAGTCCTAGGGCTCCAACTACAACAGGGATTGTTGATGTTCCTATATGCCACATTTTCGAGATTTCTAATTCAAGGTCCTTGTATTTTGACAGCTTTTGAATATATTCAAAGATACTGCCATATCAATAAGGAGGCACTTTTTTTTGTTTGTGGTCTTTCATAACAATATCTGGGCGGTTGGCCTTAATTGTTCTGTCAGTGTGCATTGTGTAGTCCCATAGAATTGTAACAGGTCCTATCTCCGTAACCGAGTCTGGGTGGTGTTCATACTAGTTTCTTTCAGTTTCCTTCCCGTAGAAGTTGCAGATTTTTCAGGGCAGATATTGGCCCACTTTGTCATGCCGGGTTTTATATTCAGTGGATGCCAACACCGTACAACCTGATACAAGATGATCAATCGTTTCTGGATATTTATCACAGAATCTGCATTTTGGGCTGACACAATATTTTAGTATATGTGCTTGATAATTCCTAGTTAACAAGCATTGGTCCTGTGCAGCAAGAATAAAACCTTCAGTTTCTGCTTTCAACCCTGCACTACGTAGCCACTGATGGGTACGGGATTTGTCTACGTCATCTTGTTTGGTAAGGGCAGGGTATTGGTCATGAAGCGGTTTATCTTGCCATCGCTTCTGTATCTGGTCGGTTGCATTCGTCTTTGCTGTCTTTTTTAAGTATTTTGCAGTTTCAGCCGGTGTATTGTGTTGTGCTTGCATCTCTACGTCCATTATTATTATTATTATTATTATTGTTATTGCCGTTGTTATTATTATTATTATTAAACAAAATGATTTGACATAACTTTCCAGTATTTTGCAACAATACAAAGACGACGTTTAACAATATTTCGTCAGTATGCCTGGCTTCTTCAAGTTATGCTTAAAAATTGTATACACGTATAAAAAAAACGAGGCTTGTCTTGAGTGAAACGGTTGTACTGGTAATCAACGCGTCAAAACGAATGAAACGCAGGTGAATGTCATGACGAGTTTTATATTCAGTGGATGCTAATACCAGACAACCTGATACAAGATGGTCAATTCTTTTTGGTTATTCATCATAGAATCTGTATTTCGGGTTAACACAAGTTTTCAGGATGTTTACTTTATAATTTCTAGTTAGCAGCACTTGGTCCTGTGCAACAAAAATAAAAACCTTCGGTTTCAGTTTTTAATCTAGTACTACGTATCCATTGGTGGATAATAATAATAATAATAATAATAATAATAATAATAATATTATTATTATTATTATTATTATTATTATTATTGTGCTTGTCCCACCCTTAGTTATTTGACATGACCGTTACGCCCAGTTAATAGCTCATAAATAACGGACTATTACGTTTTAAGTACGTGGAGAGACAAGACATATCAGAGATGCTACTTGGTTTTAGTGAAAGAAAGAAAGAAAGAAAGAAAGAAAGAAAGAAAGAAAGAAGTGTTTAAAGTCTCCTGCTAATACCTCATAAATAGTGGACTATTCCGTTTTGATCACGCGAGAAAAGAAAAGACTTATCAAAGACGTTATTTGGTTTCAGTGAGATCTATAAAAGAAAAGAAAGAAGTTGTAAATTTCAAATCTTTTCATTTGTACCCACATCTTAAAATAACGAGCATCATTTATATTAATGATCGTTATTCCAATATTTTGTTAAAATTGTTAAGCTCAAATATTCAACGATGCGACAGGGTAATTTCTACAGATATTCTATTGTCGTAGAATTCGCCATGTTCTTATTCAATCATTAATTGAAAAATTAAGATTCATCAGGAATTTCAAATTTTCACTGGTTAAAACTATTTTGACATTTGTAAAGATAAAACCTGTAAAGACAGGTACAACTTAGAGGATTGACACAATACAATCTTACATCTTCACCCCTTTTACCAAGCTTATTAAACATCAAGAAAAAATAAAATTTATTAGATCTCCAGTTTCTGCAAATATAATTAGAAGTGACCGGTGTTGTCATCTTGACTGTTGTATGGTAACTTTAAAAGGTTAGATAGATAGATAGATAGATAGATAGATAGATAGATAGACAGACTGTTGTTTGGGACACTGCATAAATTTAGAAGACTCATCAGTTAGCGTGCTACATTAGTTTTACGTAATTATTCATATGTCAAATATAAGCCAAAGACCGTTGATTGTGGATCTAAGAAAGAAAGAAAGAAAGAAAGAAAGAAAGAAAGAAATATAATCTTCTATATAAATAAAAATGAACGTCTGTATGTCAGTGTATCTATCTGTCTGTACAACTACAGGTAGAAAAACTGCTCTTCATTGAATTTGGAACATAGTAGACATAAAAGGGGGTGTAATGAGCTTTGTTTGATTTATTTTTGAGAGGAGCAAAGGGGGAAGACACCCCCCCCCACACACACACACACACTGAACAAAAATGTACCCATGGATTCAAAAACTATTGGACAGATTTTTATGAAATTTGAAACATAGATTTCCGGCGTGAGAGTGGATGTAATATGCTATGCATAAGTATATATTATTTTGATCAAAGGACGTCCCCGAGGGTGGGGCACAAATCCCCTGAAATTTTTTTCCTTTCGATTTAAATTAAATTTAAACTTAAGTAAATGACCTGAAATTATGCTTATTTCCAAAATATCAGCCAATTTCAATAATGGGGGCTACCCCCAATACTAAAAATTTTGGGAGCCCATAAGTTGAGTAATTGAACCTCTATTATCACGGAGTTTTTAACATAGGTTTATATGTTTTAGTCACTTTGATATATTTTGAAGACATCTTCAAAAGTACCCCTTCTGTTTGCCTCGGGGTTCTTGATAGGCTCCAGAGGCGGATATGCAATGTAGTTGGCCCTGCTCTCGTCTACAGTCACTTTCTCACAGACGCTCCGTCGCCTCCCTCTGACTGTTCTACAAATACTTTCATGGGAATTGCTCCGAAGAGCTGCATTCGCTGGTTGCCAGACGTCATGAGTTCCAGCGCCTCACGAGGCTGGCATCCCGCTCTCACCCCTTCACTGTCGAAACTCCTAAATGTAGCCGTCTCTTCTACTCTAATAGCTTCATGTCTCGCACCTCTCGCCTGTGGAACTCCCTTCCCTATTCCTGTTTCCCTGAGAGCTATAATCTCCAGCTATTCAAATGTAATGTCAATCGACATCTCCAGTTGCCTTGATCTATCCACTACCCTCATCCTTTCTTCTATCACTCCTATCTGATCTTGCTCTAAGTTTTCTGTAACCCCTTGCGTCCTAGTGGCTTCCCGCCTTGCTTGGGGTGAAATGCTAAAAAAAAAAAAAACTTACCGAAGGGGTAGTGTGGTGATGGTGGAGTGGAGCCCCCTAAAAATCTAAACAATACAACCATTGGATAGATTCTTATAAAATTTGAAAGAGATTCTATGTATGAAACCTAAGCACATAGATTATATATATATAACTTATTTTTAAAAAAAAAGGCGGGGTCCGGCAGTGTACAAATTGCCGGCTCAAAAAACTGTTTCCATCGATTTAAATGAAATTTAAACCATACCATCTTTCTACATTCATTTCATTTTTGCATGCAGACATTTGAGACCACAGTTTTAGTTTCCTGTAACCTACACAATAGCAATTGTTTCAGTTTTATATAATGATTTAATTAATATGGATCCTAATGTAGTTTTCCATAAATTTTGTCTCTTTTGGACTAAAGAGGCATCTCTTGAACCTATAAAATAACTACAATTTCATTAATATGCAACTTTACAATTTATTTGAATTCTTGATAAAGTCGTTTATCCTATAATGACCAAACCTAAACAGGTCTACATCTTTCAGATGTCTGTTCTGCCAGTTGACTATTGCAAATAATAAGTAGGTTACACACTTGCTACAATGTATTCCCAAAAATCCCGTTTTGGACCACCTAAGCAACACCATTGGAGGAAAAGGAAAAGAGCGGAAGAAATTGAATATCTGCTGTGCAAGAGAAGGAGAAAAGGCACAGAAAGGTATAGAGTTTCATGAGTATCACAGAGTGAAGAACAAGACGGATCTAAGACAAGAAAATGCTAACAACAAAAACATACATTAGTTGCTCAACGGACTGCAGCTTTGAGACATTCTGAAAATCCAGAAAAAGTCGAAAGAAGACGTACATAAACTGCTCAATTGACTGCAGAAGCTAACAAAATCTAAAACTCAAGAAGAAACTGAAACGAAACGTAGCATTGATAACTCAGAATTAGGAAGGAGCTCACTACCAAACAATCTGAAAATTGTCAACGGAAATCTGCCAGACAATGAACTCAGAATTACGGAAGAGGAGACTCAAAGGAATACTCAACGGAAGGAGCAACTACATGAAAACTGCTCAACGGACTGAATCTGTCAGACAATGTACAACTCGAGAATTACGGAAGAGGAGACTCAGAAGGAATACTCAACGGAAGGAGCAACTACATAAAAACTGCTCAACGGACTGAATCTGCCAGACAATGTGAATTACAAGAGGAGACTCAGAGAATTACGGAAGAGGAACTACATGAAAACTCAACGGACTGAATCTACCAGACAATGTAACGGAAGGGAGCAACTAACAGAAAAACTGCTCAACGGACTGAATCTGCCAGACAATATGCAACTCCAGAATTACGGAAGAGGAGACTCAGAAGGAATACTCAACGGAAGGAGCAACTACATGAAAACTGCTCAACGGACTGAATCTGCCAGAAAATATGCAACTCCAGAATTACGGAAGAGGAGACTCAGAAGGAATACTCAACGGAAGGAGCAACTACATAAAAACTGCTCAACGGACTGAATCTGCCAGACAATGTGCAACTCCAGAATTACGGAAGAGGAGACTCAGAAGGAATACTCAACGGAAGGAGCAACTACATAAAAACTGCTCAACGGACTGAATCTGCCAGACAATGTGCAACTCCAGAATTACGGAAGAGGAGACTCAGAAGAATACTCAACGGAAGGAGCAACTACAGCTCAACGGACTGAATCTGCCAGACAATGTGCAACCCAGAATTACAGAAGAGGAGACTCAACTACACTAAAAACTACATGAAAACTGCTCAACGGACTGAATCTGCCAGACAATGTGCAACTCCAGAATTACGGAAGAGGAGACTCAGAAGGAATACTCAACGGAAGGAGCAACTACATGAAAATTGAAAATCTGCCAACAATGACTGAATCTGCCAGACAATGTGCTCAACGGACAACTCCAGAATTACGGAAGAGGAGAGGAAGGAATACTCAACGGAAGGAGCAGAAGGAATACTAAACGGAAGAGACAAAGGAATACATACATGAAAACTGCTCAACGGACTGAATCTGCCAGACAATGTGCAACTCCAGAATTACGGAAGAGGAGACTCAGAAGGAATACTCAACGGAAGGAGCAACTACATGAAAACTGCTCAACGGACTGAATCTGCCAGACAATGTGCAACTCCAGAATTACGGAAGAGGAGACTCAGAAGGAATACTCAACGGAAGGAGCAACTACATGAAAACTGCTCAACGGACTGAATCTGCCAGACAATGTGCAACTCCAGAATTACGGAAGAGGAGACTCAGAAGGAATACTCAACGGAAGGAGCAACTACATGAAAACTGCTCAACGGACTGAATCTGCCAGACAATGTGCAACTCCAGAATTACGGAAGAGGAGACCAGAAGGAATACTCAACGAAGGAGCAACTACATGAAAACTGCTCAACGGACTGAATCTGCCAGACAATGTGCAACTCCAGAATTACGGAAGAGGAGACTCAGAAGGAATACTCAACAGAAAGGAGCAACTACATGAAAACTGCTCAACGGACTGAATCTGCCAGACAATGTGCAACTCCAGAATTACGGAAGAGGAGACCAGAAGGAATACTCAACGGAAGGAGCAACTACATGAAAACTGAAC